CGGCACATGCACCTCCCCGATAGGCGCTCCATTGAGGCTGCCTGCTCCTCAGGATGCGCGTCGCGCGGGTCGGCGCTCGGCTGGCCGTGCCTGTCGCCCGCTTCCGCTGTCGCGTCGGCGCCGCGGGGGCCGGGGGGGGTCCGGGGGCGCCATGACCAACGGTGGGAACGGGGGGCCAAGGGCTACCGAGGGGGGCCTAGGGAGAGCCGGGGCCGGCATAACCAATGCTGGGAACGGGGGAACGAGGGGTTGTGGGGAGGGTCCTGGGGCCACCATGGCTGGTGGTGGGAACTGGGGAGTGGAGGGGCCGGGGCGTCCGGGCGGGTTCGGGGCCTCAAGGACCATGGAGGGAGGGGGGTTTTGGGGGTTCCGAAGGCGGGGGGCCTGATGAGGCACCATGGGGAGAGCACTCAGGTACCGACAGGCGACGGGGCAGAAAGGGCTGATGTGGGGGAGGTACTGAGAGGAAGTTTTGGGAGGCGGCTGGGAGACTGTGACCCTTCGGGGGCGGGGTACTGGCAGTTCTGAGTGCCGTCGGTGGGGATACGGGCAGGTCTGAGTCCCTTTCCGGGGGATCTCGGGAAGTCTGCATCCCCTCATAGGGGCAGAGACGGGAGATTGTTCACACGGAGTGTGGGGGTCTCCTTGGAGAGGGTTGGGCAGGGGCCCGGAGTTTCCCCTGACCCCTCCCCAACCGATCTCCCCGCAGTTTATTCCCTGGACGGGCTCCTGGTGTTCGGGCTGCTCCTGGTTTGCACTTGTGCGTACCTGCGGAAGGTGCCTCGACTGCGCACCTGGCTCCTGTCTGAGCGCAGGGGCATCTGGGGAGTCTGCCACAAGGGTGAGGGGCACTTGGGACACTGGGGTATGGCGTGGGGGTGCTGGGAACACTGGGATGGGACACTTGGAACACTGGGGTACAGGATGGGGATGCTGGGATCTCTGGGGTCGGGTCTAGGACGGGAGCACTGGGTCCAGGTTGGGGACACAGAGATGTGGGATGGGGGTTTTGGGGTCTGGGATAGGAACACAGGGATTTGGAATGGGAACAGTGGGGTTTGGGATGGGAACATGGGGTCTGGGATGGGCTCACAGGGATTCAGGATGCATCTGGGATGGGGACATGGGGCCTCACCCCATCCTTGTCCCACCCACAGCTGCTGTGATTGGGACCCGCCTGCACGTGGCTGTGTCCATGTCCTGTCTTCTCATGGCCTTCTACGTCCTTGTGGGAAAGTGACCACATGGGGACCTGCTGGCAACCTGAGAGAGACTTGGGACCGACTAGAGATCCTGTGACTGAATCTGATGATCCCAGTATGGACCAGAGAGCCCGGTACTGACCCCAGTGTCCGAGTACCAACCAGAGACCCCATTGCTGACCCTGGAGACCCTGGTACTGATCCTGGAGACCCTGGTACTGACCCTGAACCACCCCTGGTCCTGCCCTTGGCAGCAACCTGGATCCTTTGTGTGGCAACCGAGGGACCATCATGGCCCATCACCCTCCTTGAGCCCACCAAGGGCAACTGTGAGGGCCAACAGGGCACCTTTAGACTGTTGGAAAAAGATTTCCTGTGAATTCTGAAGAGAAGTGGGTGAAGGGACCCCCAGGACTGGGGGACCCAGCTCTGCCCTGTGAGCCCCTTCTCTTGATGCTGAGCAGGGTCCTAGTGAGACCATGGCAGGCTCTGGGGGCCAGGCAGGGTACCCCCTGATCCATGGGATCTTCCTATGCCCCTGCAGCGTGGGGGGCCCTCAGGGGGGTTTCCTTCTGCAGTGGGGGGTTGGTGACGCTCCCGGGTTGTAAATATTGGACCACCACATGCAAATAAAGTGGGGGTTCCTCTGTGGCAGTGATGGCCTGGGGGTCCTGTGGGGTTGGTGCCCTGCTTGGGTGTCCTGTGGTATGCGTTGAGGGTCCCACTGGGTGTGTGTGAGGAGGTCCTTGGAGGCTGCCTCCCATGGGGTGGAGGGCTCCTGTAGATATGGGTCCTGGAGTTAGGAGGATTTGTGCAAATAAAGTGGCGGGGGGCGGGGGGGGGCTGTGGGGTGGGGAATTGCTGACTGAAGCCTCCTTGCCCGGTTCGTCCAGCTCTCTGGGGCCGGGAGTGATGCAGCCCCGCAGCGAGGGGCACGGAGGGCTGTGCCCTGCCCGTGGTGAGTGCGCCCGGCCCCGCCTGCGCCCGTCGCTGTGCCGGCCGTGTGCCTGGGAGACGCGGTCGGTGCTCGGCGATGCTCGGCGGTCCTCCGATCGGCCGGGGGCGCACCAGAGCTCTGCGCTACCGTCCCGGCGTGCTCCGCGCGGCTACGGTAGATAAAGGGCCGGACCGGAAGTGGCTGTGGCTGTGCGCGTGTGTGTGTGCGCGCGTGTATGTGCGTGTGCGTGTATGTGCGTGTGTGCGCGCATGCATGCGTGTGTGTGTGTGTCTGTGTGTGTCAGTCAGGGGTGTCCGTGTCTGTGTGAGGCGCCAGCCACCCTCCCTCCCTACACGTTGATCTTATTCGATCGGCCGGGCCCCGCCGGGCCGAGGTGAGAAGAAAGCGCCGCGAAGCCCTCGGGCGCTGTGCGGCTGGGCCGGGCGGGATGAGTCGATCAGATAGGCGAGGCCACGGCCGCTGAGCGCCCTGCGATTCTGACCCGCGCCCACGTCTGCAGCCCCGGGGCCGACACCGAGCCGCTCCCGACAGCGGCGGAAGACGAAACGCCCCAGCCTCATCCCGGCCCAGCCATCCGGGCCACGCGGGGAGGCGGGAAATGCACCCTGCCGCAGGCTCCGTTCGCACTTTGCAGGGCTCCGTGCTGCCCTTGCGGGGCCTGCACGCTCCGTGCCGTGCCGTGCTGGCAGTGGTTCACCGGGCCCTGCAGCTGTGTGCGGCACAAAGGCTGTACACGGGGCTGTCTGTACACCGTGCCATGTCTGTGAGCTGAGCGCGGACCTTGCTGGCCCCGCGGGACACCGGGGACTCTCATTAGACCTACGAGCTTCATGCAACATGGCCTCTGTGTTTTATTGAGGGTGTGTGATGATGCCCATGGTGCTGACAAAGCTGTGATGGTAACCAGAGGACAGCCCCTGTGGAAAAGTACAGTTGTGCTGGTAACAGGATGGCCACGATCATAACAGGAGTACAGCTGTGGTGATAGCAAGAGGATGTCCGTGGTTATGCCAAGGGGACAGTAAGGGTGGGTGACCGAGGGGTGGCTACAGTGGTGACAAGAGGATGAGCCTGAGAGGACAGCCACAGAGGTGAAAAGGGGACGGCTGTGGTGGTGATGAGGGGACAGCAGTGATTCTGCCATTACTGGGAGAAGCAGCTGCGGTTGCTGCTGATGGTGGCCCTGCTGTGGGGACACTCGGAGAGGAGGTCACCAGCTTAATAGTGCCTGGCAGGCTTCATCTGCCAGGGTGACACTGTGGATGCCGTGGGGCATGGCTACCCCATGCCTCTGTCTCTAGCTGTGGCACAAGTAGGCGTGGGGTTTGTCCCCATGCTGCCATAGGGACAGGAATGTGTCCTTCCTGTGGCCGTGTCCCCCCTGCCCGTGGTACTTGCTGGCATCCCTGTGCCACCACAGATGGACATGTGTCACTAGTGTCCTCCAACCCACAGGGTGACCCTTTGCCACGAGAGTTGAGACCTCTGTATCACCTTAGCAGCTCTGTCCCTCATATTCTCTCGTGACTGTGGCCCCCATATGCCCGTGTTCCCCATCTCCCTGTGTCCTCCATGTCCCTGGTGTTCCCATGTTGTCTATATCCTTCATGTCCCCCTATGTCCCCCATCTCCCTGCGTTCCCGTGTCAGCTGTGTACCCAGTGTCCCTCTGCAGCCCCTTACCAGCTGTGTTCCTATGTCCCTCATGTTCAGATATCCCCTGTATCCTGTGTCCCTCTGTGTCCCCCATTCTCCCATGTCCCCTGTGTTCCCCGTGTCCCTGTATCAAGTGTGCCTGATGTTCCTGTGTCCCCCGTGTTCCTATATCCCCTGTACCCCCTCGGTCCCTCATGTCCTCCATGCCCAGAATATGCAGCCATGTATGTCTCCTGTGCTGTCCCCAGTGCAGTGGGACTGGCCCGGCTCCATGAGGACATGGCCTGAGGGGCACACGAGTGGCACCCAGTCTCCGGTGCGGTGGAGGCAGCTCCGGGGTGCGGGGGGCTCTCGACCCCCCCTCGCCGTGTCCCGGTCCTCCCCCAGCCCCGGGCGGCGGGAGGAGGGGCTGTTCCCGGGGGCGGGAGGCGAGGGCGTGATGCCCCGAGGCGGTCTCGGTGCTGTCCCTGGCGTAACATTCCCAAATCCGTTCCCAAGGATAAATTGCCGAGGCCGTTCCCGGGAACGCGTTCCGGGGATTACATTCCTAGTCCCGTTTCCGGGGATACACTCCCAAGGATGATGGGGTTCCCGGCGGCGTTCTCACGGATAACACTCTGGTCCCGGTGCCTGATGCCAATCTCAGGGTACCATTCCCGAGTGTAACCTTGGCCGTGCTGTTCCTGGGAGTTCCCTTCCCGTGTATCTATTCCCAATACCGATACGCGGTGCCATTCCCATGAATAACATTCTCGATACCGATTCCCGGTGCCGTTCTCATGGCAAGCTTTCCCGGAGGCGATGCCAGTTGTCGTTCCAAGGGAATCTATTCGTGATCCACTGCCCGTTCCCGTTCCCTGGGACGATGCCCCGTGCCATTCCCACCGTTCCCGGTGCCCGTTCTCGGAGGTGATGCCCGGTGCTGTTCCCGGGGGTTCCTCTCCTAGTGCCTATTCCCGTTCCCGGGGGGGATGCCGGGTGCCGTTCCCAGGGGTTCTGTTCCCGGTGCCTATTCCCGTTCCCGGGGGCGGGGGCAGGTAGCGGCAGGTGCGCGGAGGCCGGGCCGTTGGCGGGGGCGGGGCAGCGGCGCCGGTGCTCGCACCGGCCGAGCTGCCGCCGTTGCCACCGCCGTTGCCGCCGCCATGGCCGGTACCGGAGCCCGGTGGATGCCGCTGGCGCTGTGTCTGGCTGTTACCGTGTCACCGGCACGCACCGGAGAGCAGCTACACGTCTGCAAGGAGGTACCGGCACCGGGAATGGCGGGGGGGGATGGGGGGGTGGACAACCGGTAACACACCAGCACCGCTGCAACCACCCCCAAATTCCCCCCACACACCGATGAAACGGAGTCCCGGAGCATGGGGAGGGCGCTCCCTATGAGATGAGGGGGACAAGGAGGGGACAGGTGGGGGTCGGGCATCCCGGTGGCACCGGGGATAGGGTGTCTCCTATAGGGGGGAGGGACTGGCCGACCTCCTGGGGGCCCGGGGAGCAGTCTTTGCTCCCAGTGGCTCGGCCAGAGCCCGAGGGTCTCCTTTGGGACCCCAACTGGTGTCACCCCATCATCGTCCCTAAGTCCCTACTCCTCAGACACATTGGGGTCTCCCTGAGTGCTGCTGGGGGGTGACAAGGAGCGGGGGGGGGACAATCCCAATGGCCACGTGTCATTTCCAGCCCAGCACATGGTATTCTGTGAAGAAAAACTGTCACTCACCAGGATCTGTCCACCTTGGGGACAGCGGGTGAACCCCCAAACGCTCTCCCTGGGTTGTCTGTCTTGCCCCCCCTCCCCCCCAGTTTTCCTCCCCCCTCCTCAGACCTACGTCTGCTTTTAATCTGGGCCAGGATTTTTTTTTTCTCTGATCCAATTATTTTTGTCCGTGTTCCATGATCCAGAGCTGGAAACAATAGACTGGGGCTGGCACCTGCCCCAGGAGCAATCAGTCCCCCAGAGGGGGTGTCCCCTGTCCTTCACAAGGGACAGCCCTTCTCCCTCCCCTGGCCAGAGCAGAGTTACAGTGGCAGAAACTGTAACTGGGTGCCCTCCACCCCCAGAGCCACCCTGGGGCTGAATTAGGTCAATTTATGTAGATTTAATGAAAACATGGAAAAGTTTAGGAAGAGAGAAAAAATACCCTCTCCCCAGGGAAATCCCTCAGGACTGAGAGGAATGTGGTAGTTCAGGGCTGCTGAAAGTTGGAGTGACCTTCCGGGTACCCCCAGGGTGGTGGGGACCTTTCTCTGTGTCCCCATCTCAGGGCCAGGGGGGGTTCCATGCTGCCTGTACATGGGCAGGGCATGCTGCAGGCATCTCTCTGTCCTCAGTTTTCCTTTTCCACCCCCCTTTTACCTCTCCAATCCCTCTTTCCCCTTCACACCCCCCCATCCCCCTCTTCCCCCCCCCCCCCATTGCTGTGTTTCCAGCTGATGGGAACATCAAAGCAGTTGTTTTCTCATCAACCTGCCACGCTCCAGCAGCCACTGGGACATGAAGCCACAGCACCGGCTCTGACACCTCAGTGCTGCTGCAGGGGGATGGGGAGCTCCCCTTGTACCCCAAACCACAACACCACCACCAGATGTGTCCTTCACCCTGCCCACGCTGTCTGTCCCTGGCGTCTCCTCACCAGCCTTAAGCCAGTCTCAACTTGGTGCAGCTGGGAGGATGGGGGGGGGGTCACGGTGCCTCTGCTGTCTCCAGCACTTCCTGGTTCCCCTTGGCCCCCCCTGCACTCCCGCCCTATGCCCGGGGTGCTCCCTGGCTGGATCCGGGTTGTGCCACAGCTGTTTGATGAGCAAAGTGTGTCACAGCCGCGCCAACGGGCGTGACGGTGCCATGTGATCCCAGGAGCATGGAGGGGGCGCAGGGGTTCCCCTTCACACCAGGGAGGGGTGCAGGGCTGCTGCTGCTCCAAGGCTCCTGGGCAACCCCAGCCAGATCATCCCCCCACCCACAGCAACCCCATTTCCCAGCATCTTCTCAAACTGCCCTCCCTCCCCCTGCCACAATGCTCCCCCACTCTGAGCATCCCCCTGGTCCTCAGCTCCCCTCAATCCAGAGCATCTCCCACCCAAATCACCCCCATTTTCCAGCATCCCCCCACACTGAACTCTCCCCTGCCCCAGTATCCCCCCACTCTGAGCACTCTCTCAGGCCCCTCTCTCCAGGCCCTGGGCACCACAGGACATTGCCACACCTTAACTCAAAACCATCCCTTGAAGGCACTGCAGGGCCGAGGGGCCAGCCCCTGTCAGGGAGCAAAGGGTGCCGGGGGCAGCCCGGGGTGCAGCTCCCTGCACGTTTCCTCTGTGTCTCCTGCAGTCCGAGTACCACTACGAGTACACAGCCTGTGACAGCTCAGGATCGCGCTGGAGGGTGGCTGTACCACACACACCTGGACTCTGCACTGGCCTGCCTGACCCTGTCAGGGGCACTGAATGCTGTAAGATTGCCACCAGGAATGGCATGGGGTTAGGCTAGGGGGTGGGAATGGCGGGGATGGGAAATGAGGGCGAGAGGAGGGAGAGAATGGGGAGACAAGCACAGCCATTGTTGGCTCCAGTGCAGGCAGGATGGAATGGGATCAGTGGGATGGTAGAAGAACTACAAGCACTGGGATGGGATGGAATAGGAATCACACAGCAACTCCCTGGGATGGGATGGGAGGGATGGGAACCACACACACGGAGGCAGTGGGACGGGATGAGACAGATGGGAATCACATGCACACACAGATAGGACGGGATGGGAATCACAGATAAAGTCATGGAATAGGATGAGAGGAATGGGAATCACACACTGGGATGGAAATCCCCTCATGCCACACATGCAACAGGACAGGATGAGCAAGATGAGCACTCACTCACCTGAATGGGATGAGAGAGATGGAAATCCCACACACACATGCACCAGGATGGGAGGGGAATCACACACACAGTCACCAAATGGAATGACAGCCATGGGAATCTCACCACACACACATGCACCAGGATGGCTGAGCAAGGTGAGAATCCCCCTCACACAAACTTACCAGGAGGGATGAGCAGGATGGGAATCCCAAACACATGCCCCCCAAAGCCTGGGGGTGTCCCAGTTCCATGGTAGAGTGTTACATCCTGCCTGGATTGGGCAGAGCTGGGCATCAGGTACCAAACCTCATGGATGGGGGGGTTGCCTTTGTGGAATGGTAAGAATTGGGGATCCCAGCACCTCCACCAGCTGGAGCACTTGGAAGTGCAGAGCTGAGGGTGATGAGGCTGTAGCAGCACCAGGAGGATTGGGGGTGACCCTCCACACCCTGTGCCCCTGTCTCCATTGGCAGCATTCTCCTGCAAGGCGGGTGAGTTCCTGGAGATGCAGACGCAGACGTGCCGGCCCTGCGCTGTGGGCACCTATTCGCTGGGCACTGGTGTCCGCTTCGATGAGTGGGACGAGGTGCCCCATGGCTTTGCCAATGTGGCCACCAACCTGGAGGTGGATGACGGCTTTGGCGATGCGGCAGAGAACTGCACCGCGTGAGTCACTGTGTCACTGGCTGTGATGCCAGCACATGAGCACTTGGCCTGTCAGGACTGGGTGCGGGGCACAGCGAGCAGGATGGGTGTGACACCCCTGTGCATCCATAGCGCCCCTGTGCATCCAGTTGCCCCAACACCCTTCTGTCATCCTGCCCTGGGAGGTGACACCAGCAGGGGCACTGTGGTCGCAGCAAGGGAACACCCAGCTATATCGCCCACCCCCCAGGTGTGGCAGGACCCCAACCCCACGGGACCTCCACATCAATATTCCTTGGAGACAGAGCACCCATGGAGGTCCCCAGAGCTCCTATGGGGGTCTCTACAGCACCCATGGGGATCTCCACACCCTGTGCCACCAGCAAGAGCCTTTACTGCCACAGCCCTTTGATCCTCACTGGCAACCTCTGAGCTCTTTTGGTTGTGCTGGCAGCCACCAGACCCTTCCAGTTGTTCCACAGCCACTAAACATCCCACTGGCGAGTTGTACCAGCAGCCACAAACCCCTCTTACTTGTACCACAGCCATCAAGGCCTCTCAGTTGTACCAGCAGCTGCCAAGCCCTCCCAGTTGTTCCACTGCCACTGAATTTCCCACCAACTGTTGTACCAGCAGCCACTGGTACACAGCAAATACCAACAGCCACCAAACCCTCCTGGTTGTACCACACCACTGAGCCTTCCCAGTTGTACCAACAACCAAGAAACCCTCCCAGATTTACCAACAACCACCAAACCCTCAGTTTTACTGGCACCACCACGCTGCTCCATTGATGCCCCTCTTAGGCATTCCCTACTCCTAGTAGCATGTTCTTCATCCAGCCACATTCCCAGAAGAGGGGGACCCCACTCTCTTCTTGCAGTCCACACGGCTCTCAGCAGGCCAGGGGAGTCTCCCGAGGGAGATGTGTCTAGCCATCACATCTTGACATGTCCCTAAGATGTGCCCAAGCCCTGTGCCCCCCATTTCTCCCCTGCTTCCTGGGGACCCTCCCAGCTAGCCCTACAATCCTTGTCCTGCCTGCTGAGAGTGGTGACAGGATATATCACTTGCCCCAGGTCAACGTGGGTGCCACTGGGGGACTACATCGCCTCCAACACAGATGAGTGCACAGCCACCCTCATGTATGCTGTGAGCCTCAAGCAGTCGGGGACTGTCACCTTCGAGTACATCTACCCTGACAGCAGCATCGTCTTCGAATTCTTCGTGGGTGACAGGGGCAGGGATGGAGGATGTGGGTCTCTGGGGACATGGGAGGGTCCTTGGGGGCATGGGAGGGGTCTCTTGGTACATGGAGGGGTCCATCGGGATATGGGAGAGGATCCTAGATGGCATTAAGGGTCCCTAGGTACATGGGAGATGTCCCTTGTGACCTGAGTGGGTCTGTGGGAACTCCTCAGGGGTCCCAAGGGACATGGAAGGAGTCCCTGAGAACATGATGTGTGTCCCTGGGGACATGGCAGGATCTCTGGTGGATGTGACAGTGGTCTCTGGGGACATGGGGAAGGGGACCCTGGATATATGGGAGGGGTCCCTGGGGACATCATGGGGATCCTTGCAGACATGGAGGGGTCCCTGGGGACATGAAAGTGGACCCTGATGACATGAAGGGAGCCCCATGGGATATAGCAGTGGTTCATGGAGACATGAGGAGGGGTCCCTAGGAATATGGAGGGTCCCTGGGAGCATGGGGGTGTGTCCCTGGGGACATGCAGGGTCCCTGTGAACATGGAGTCCCTGACACTCACCCTGCAGGTGCAGAACGACCAGTGCCAGCCCACGGTGGAGGAGTCCCGCTGGATGCGGACGACAGAGAAGGGCTGGGAATTCCACAGCGTGAGTGCTCGGTGGGAGGTGACACTGGGGGGGAGGTCCCTCGGTGCTGCCCCGGCGTTTCTTGTCCCTCCCGTGGGACGAAGATGCGCCACGAGGCTGAGGAGGGGGCAGTGGATGGTGACAGACGGGGGTGCCACACACACCCCTCCACTGGTGCCAGCCCCCTCCTCGGCAGCAGGATCCCCCACCCACGGTGCCAAACCCATCCCTGGCAGTGGGATTACCCAATCCCATGGGATCCTTCTCCCAGGTGGAGCTGAGCCGTGGGAACAACGTGCTCTACTGGCGGACCACCGCCTTCTCCGTCTGGTCCAAGGTGCCTAAACCGGTGCTGGTGAGGAACATCGGCATTACAGGTGGGTGGGGGCAGGAAGGAGGATCTCGGGGGTCGTGCACCCCCGTCCCCGCTACCTGAGACTCCTCCCGCTCCCAGGGGTGGCCTTCACTTCCGAGTGCTTCCCCTGCAAGCCCGGTACCTTCGCCCCCGCTGCCGGCTCAACCGCCTGCCAGCCCTGTCCCGCCGACACCTTCTCTGGCAAAGGGGCCACCGCCTGCCAGCCCTGCGACCCTGACACCTACGCCGGTGAGAGGGGACACCCGGGGCTCCCCCCGCCCAGAGCTGTCCCTCTAGTATTTGACCCTGGGAACGGAAGGGGTGATGTCGGGAGCAGGGGTGACCTGACATCCCCTGGTGGCGACAGTGTTGGCGCCCCTGACAAACCTGACACCTATGCTGGTGAGGGGGGACACCCTTAGGGGTCCCTTTGTCCCCGCAATCTGCACTGCAGGAGTGGCCCTGGGGGAGGGACAGATAATGTGGGGAGTAGGGAGCACCCACCACCCCTTGGTTGGGAGGGAAGACAAAGACACCCCACGTGGTGGGAACAGCGCTGGGGTCCCCGGGCTGTGCTGGCTCACCCGCCGTGTTCCCCCTCGGCAGAGCCCGGCTCGGGGTCCTGCAAGCCACGCCCGCCCTGCACGGACAAGGATTTCTTCTACACCCACACGGCCTGCGACGCCCGTGGGGAGGTAATGCAGGGGCAACCCGGGGTGGGCCCCCTGTCCCTGGTGTCCCCCCCAGCTCACTCGCTCCCCCGGCAGACCCAGCTGATGTACAAGTGGGCAGAGCCCAAGATCTGCAGTGAGGAGCTGCCACAGGCGACCCGGTTGCCATCCTCGGGGGTCAAGACACGATGCCCCCCCTGCAACCCTGGCTTCGCCAAAGGCAACAGCAGCACCTGCCAGCCCTGTCCCTATGGCTTCTATTCCAACGGCTCTGGTAAGGTGGCCCCGTCATTGTCCCCAAAGTGTGACTGGGGCACCCTGAGCTGATGGGGGAAGGTGGGTGCCACTCCAGTGCAGGGTTGTCCCCTCCTGTCCCCATGGCTCCAATAAGGACACCCCCACCACTGTCCCCAAGGAATAACTGGGGTCTCTGGGGCTACCAGGGGGAGATGAGTGCCACCTCAGTGCAGGATTGTCCCATCCTGTTCCCATCATTGTTCCAAAGTGGTGACCAAGGCACCCAAAGCTGACAGAGAGAAAAGTGGTACCACCCTGGTGCAGGGCTGTCCCTATGTATCCAGTAAGAACATCCCAGTTATTGTCCCCAGTAAGTAACTGGGATCCCTGGAGCTGCCTAGGGAAGGTGGGTGCCATCTCAGTACAGAGCTGTCCTCTCCTGTCTCCACCATTGTCCCCAAGAGGTGGTTACCAGGTCATCCCAAGCTGCAGGGAGGGGAATGTGGTACCACTCTAGTGCAGGGCTGTCCCCTCTTGTCCCCATCACGGGCCTCAAGGGGTAATCAGGGCACATCAAGCTGACAGAGGGGGAGGTGGGTGCCACCCCTGTACAGGGCTGTTGCCTTCTCTCGCCAGCCTGCCTCAGTTGCCCAGAGGGCACCGAGCCAGTGCTGGGCTTGGAGTACAAGTGGTGGAACGTGCTGCCCCCCAACATGGAGACCACTGTGCTCAGCGGCATCAACTTCGAGTACAAGGGCATTGCAGGTAGTGGCAGAGGGCTGTCCCTTCCCTGTCCCTTGCCGGGGCACTGCCAGGGACATCTCTGAGTGTCACTGCACCCCTGCAGGCTGGGAGGTAGCTGGGGACTACATTTACACAGCAGCTGGAGCCTCTGACAGCGACTTCATGATCCTCACGCTGGTGGTCCCTGGCTTCAGGTGAGGTGGGGGCCACCACCAGGGAGCAGGGGGGACACGGCCACGGAGCAGAGCTAGCAGTGTCCCCACACTGTCCCCAGCCCTCCAAGCCCAGTGCTGGAGGACACAGAGAGCAGAGAGGTGGCCAGGATCACCTTCGTTTTCGAGACGCTGTGCAGCGTTGGCTGTGAGCTCTACTTTATGGTGGTGAGTGGGGAGACACAGCAGTTTGGGGGGGCACAGTGAATTTGGATGGTGCCACCTCCCCCATCCCCACAGGGTGTCAACTCACACACCAACACTCCGGTGGAGACATGGACAGGCTCCACAGGGAAACAATCCTACACCTACCTGGTGGAGAAGAACGCAACCATGAGCTTCACTTGGGCCTTCCAGCGCACCCCCTACCACGAGGCGGTGAGGGACAGGGGACCCTGCTTTGAGAGGGCTGGAGGGTCCCCACTTTGGAGGGTCTGGTGGGGGGTGAGGGGCAGATGGTGATGGTGCTCTCGGTGCCAGGGCCGGCGGTTCACCAGTGATGTGGCCAAGCTGTACAGCATCAACGTCACCAATGTGCAGGGGGGGGTGGCCTCCTTCTGCCGCCGCTGTGCCCCGCAGCCCACTGGGTCCTGTGCCCCGTGTTCCCCTGGCAGTACTGTGGACCCCAGCTCGGGCATCTGCCAGCCCTGCCCATCTGGCACCTACCTGCGGGGCCACCCCTCCGACGGGACGCCCACCTGCCACCCCTGTGGCCCTGGCACACACAGCAACCAGGTGACTGGGGATGGCAGGGGGTCCAAGTGTCCATATGTGTCCCCATGGGTGATGCCAATGGGCCCCAGAGGAGTGACACCAGCCTCCCCCAGAGCCAGGATGTCCCAGATGGTGGCACTGGCTAGCACCAGGAGGGTGACACCATCACGGGTGGGTGACACGAGCCTCCCCCAGTCATCCTGGGTGCATGACACTGTGTCCCCATGGAGGTGACACCAGCACCTTACAGCCATTCTGGGTGGGTGACAGGATGGGTGGCAGTGTGGGTGACTGTCTGACCCAGAGTGGGTGATGCCTGCCCTCCTTGGCCACCTCCAGGGAGGTGACACCAGCCCTGTGGCAATCCTGGGTGGATGGCAAGGTGGGTGACAATGTCTAATCCTGGGTGGGTAATGCCAGTCCCCCAGCTGTCCCCAGAGAGATGACACCAGCCCCTCCCAGCCATCCCAGATGGGTGACAGTATCTGACAGTGGTGGGTGGCAGTGGGTGACCCTGGTGGGTGCCACTATGGCCCTGCTGTCTCTCAGGGGTGGTGCCAGCTCTCCAGAGTCTCCCACAAGGGTGTCCCCAGTGGGTGGCATGGCCATCCCTGAGCTCCCTGTCCTTGTTCCCAGCTGCGATCGCTATGCTACAACAACTGCAGCCTGGCACTGGCACTGCCAGGCCGGATGCTGCACTTCGAGTTCCCGTCGCTGGGCCAAGGTGCCGGGGTGGGCACTGGGCCCAGCTTCACCCCCAAAGGGCTGCGCTACAGCCATCACTTCCGCCTTAGCCTCTGTGGGCACCAGGTGAGAGCTGTGTGGGAAAACACACGTGCACACATGGGAACACACCCAGGGGGTGGGCACAGGCACACAAGTGCAAACACAGGCACATGGGTGGGCACTCAGGACAGTAGGCACACATGGGCAGGAGGCCATGGAAACATGCATGCAGACATGGGAACGCACCTAGGAAGGCACACAAGGGCACACACAGGAGGGCAGAGGATCATGCATGAATGTATGGGAACACAACTGGGCTCATGGGTGGGTAGTCATAGGTACACAAGTGCAGACACGAGCACACAGGGGGGTGTGTGCACTCACAGGCACATGAGTACAAACACGAGCACACAGGTGGGCGTACAAGTAGGTGGGCACAAGCACAAGCGCAAAGATGGGCACAATGGGTGGGTACTCAGGAGGGTAGGCACAGGAACACAATTAGGAGGGCTCACAAATACACGTGCACACATGGGCATCTGGATGGGCGAACACGGGCACACACCTGGGCCCACAGATGGGACGGGGCATGCAGGTGGGCAGACACAGACACACACATGCATATGTGCTCATAGTCATGCAAACACAAGGATGTGTATGCAAACACACATTCCCACATGCAGGTGTGCAAATACAGGTGTACATACTGTCACACCTGCACTTACACACCCACCCACTTGTGCAGTCACTTGTGCACAGTCACAGAAACACACCTGCAAAGTTGTGCAGACACATGTGAATACTCGTGTAAACACATATGGACACTTGTGCAGCCACACCTGTATACCTATGGCTCTGCACACACAAGTGCCAGTCCCTTGTACACACAGTCTCACTCCACACACGTGTGTCGTGTATGTCCCCACAGGGCAGGAAAATGGCCTCATGCGCTGACAATGTGACAGCCGGTCTGGGGGGCCCTGCCCGTGTGGTCACCTCTTATGTGTGCCAGGCCATTCTGGTGCCCCCTGATGTCACCGGTGCCCGTGCAGCTGTGTCTTCTCAGCCTGTCAGCTTGGGTGACCACTTGCTGGGTGAGCAGGGAGGGAGGGGGGCACCCTGGGGCACTGGGACACCCCAAGATCACTGAGACACATGGGCAGGACAGACACTGGAACATCTTGGTGGCACTGGCACACCAACACTGGGACTCCTCAGGGGGACTGGGACACATGTGTGGGACAGGAACTGGGACAACCTTGCGGCACTGAGAGTGGGACACCTTGTTGAGACTAGGACACCCTGGCGGCACAGGAACCAGGACATCCCAGTGGCACTGAGAGTAGGATACCCTGGTGGGATTGGAACATTCTGCTGGGACTAGGACACTGGCACTAGGACATTTCAGCAGCACTGGGATACCTTGATGCCATGGGGACACCCCAATGGGACTGAAATACACCCTGATGGGACTGGGACACTACAGAGCACCTTGTTTGGGATTGGGACATTGTCACTGGTGTATGTCACCAACAACCCCAGTGGGACTGGGACACCATGATGTGACTTGAGACACGCTGGTGGGACTGGGACACTGACACCAGGACACCCTGTTGGGATTGGGATAGCCTGGTGGCACTGGGACACCCTAGTAAGACTGGGACCCTCTGGTGGCACTAGGACACTGGGACTGGAACACACCCCAGTGGGACTGGAGACACCCCTCTCTCCCTGCAGGTGTCACCACCAGCTCCGTGCTGGACGGCATCGTGTCTCCCCCAGAGCTCTTCCCCCCCAGCCACCCTGACCTGCCTGACATCATCTTCTTCTTCAGGTGCAGGCAGGTGACAGGGGGTTGACAACCACACTGTACTCCCACTGTCCTCCTGACCTCCCATGTCCTCTGGCAGGTCCAACGACATGACACAGCCCTGCAGTGGTGGCCGGGCCACCACCATCCGCCTACGCTGTGACCCCCTGCGTGTCGGCACTGGCACCCTGGCTGTCCCCAGGTGGGGAGGGGACACGGGGAACCCCGAGGGGGGTTTTGGGTGACCCAAGCATCTCCTGCTGTCAGGGTTGGGCATATCCCTGGGGTGCTTCGCTTTGGAGACACCATAGTCACAGTGTCAGTGTCCCTCACTTTGAGGTGTCACCCCGGCTGTTCCCAGGTGGGGGGGGGTGGGGGGGGGTGCGACACTGGGGACACCAAGGGGGGCTTAGGGGACTCCCAAAGTGACCCAAACAGCTCCTGCTGTCACGGGTGGGCATGTCCCTGAGGTGCTTTGTTTGGGGACGACAGTGACATGGTGTCAGATTCCCTCACCCTGAGGTGTCATCCTGGCTGTGTCACCGGCGCCCTGCGTGTATTCAGGTTGGCAGTGAAAGAAAGGAGTCCTCGGGGGAGGTTTGGGAACCTTCAAGATCCCCTGCTGTCATCGGTAGATACTTCTTTGGAGTGCTTCACTTTGGGGATACTGCTGTCATGCTGTCCCGACCCTGGGGTGTCACCTTAGCTGTAATCCCCACTTTGGAGTGTCACCGTCACCTGAGCCCCCCCTTTTTGTCCCTCCCCAGAAAATGCCCCGAGGGCACCTGCGACGGCTGCACCTTCCATTTCCTGTGGGTGACGGCCGAGGGATGTCCCCGCTGCTCCAGCTCCCACCGCCGCCCCATCGTCGGCGCCTGTATCGGCGGCGTTCAGGTACCGCCCCGTGCCCCGGGCTGGGCTGCGGCTCCTGCGGCCCCTGATCCCCCTTTTCCCCCCATCAGAAAACCACCTACGTGTGGCGGGAGCCCCGGCTGTGCCACGGCGGAGACGCCCTGCCGCCGCAGGTGATCCAGGCGTGCCGGAGCGTGGATTTTTGGCTAAAAGTGGGAATTTCCACTGGGACGTGCGTGGCCGTCTTGCTGGCCGCGCTCGCCGCTTATTTCTGGAAAAAGACTCAAAAGTGAGCAATTGGCAGCGGGATTTGGGGACACGGGGGCTAGCACTGTCACGGGGGGGTGATGGCACCGCCTGCGTTCCCAGGTTGGAATACAAGTATTCCAAGCTGGTGATGGACGCGGCGGCCCGGGAGACCGACGCGACGTCGCCCGATAGCTGCGCCATCATGGAGGGGGAGGACGCGGAGGACGAGCTGCTCTTTGCCACCGAAATGTCACTTTTTGGAAAACTTAAAGCCCTGACGGCCAAGGTGAGTGGTGGGGTGGGTAGCGGGGGTAGAAACAACCCTGGAGTAGCCACCGGACAAGCCGTGGTGGAGGTGGGATTTGAGGATGGTCCATGTCTCAATTCCCCACCCCGGGGGGGCTCCGTGTCTCAGTTTCCCTACTCCAAGGGGGGCTCTGTGCCTCAGTTCCCCACCCCGAGGGGCTCCGGGCCTCAGTTTCCCTACCCCACAGCGGATGCCGGATGGATTCGACTCGGTCCCGCTCAAGACCTCATCCAGCAGCACCGATCGGGAGCTGTAAGAGGACGGGGGGCACCCTCGCATCTCGCAGCCCTCCCAGGAGCTGTGACGGGCCAGAGGGGCACCCATGGACACCCCGGCCCCGGACAGCTGTGAAGGGAAGGGGGGGTACCCACGGCCCATCCCCCAACGTGGCCTTAGGGACCCGCTTCGGACCGGAGCCTCGTTACGGCTTTTGTACGTGTGTCCCCACCCGTGCCCCCCACCGTGTCCTCCCCATCCCAAGCACCTAAAAATGCCAAATACAGGAGTGGGGTTTGTATAAGGGCTCCATGTGTGTGGGCACATGGGGGCGGGGGGGTTTTGTATAAGGGCTCCATGTGTGTGGGCACACGGGGGCGGGGGGACACGCCTAGGGGATGCGGGGAGTTGAGCGTGGGCTCCAAAAATGGGTGGGGTGAGGATGTGGGGGTGTCCGCAGGGTGTCACACGCGTGGGAGTGGGTGCCTAGGGATGGAGTGAGGGAGCAGCGGAACTTTGACTTCTATCTGCACGGCCCCTCAAAGGGGGAACTGCTGTAGGGTCCCCCACATGGGTGGAGGCACCAGAACCCCGCCGGGACCCCTAAGGAGGGGACAGTGGGGTGACATGGGGTGACGTGGATGGCCACAGTCGTGCCATGGGGTGCTGTAGAGGGGCATAGGGTGGCTCTTGGGAGCCCCATGAGCAGAGGGGTGCGAGGTGTCCTCGGGTAGGAGATCCGCAGAGCCCACCAGTATGCCTGGGATGTGGCTGAGGAACCCCAGGAATCCTCGGGGTGCGAGGGCCAAGACCCCTCTGGCGGGGGGGGGCTCAAGGATGCTCGGACCGCTCGGGCCCCTCCAGACCCCGCCATATCCTCCCCAAACCCTCTCAACACTTCCCGATACCCCCGTCGTGCCGCTCTGCCTGGGCCTCCCGGCCCGCCGGAAGCCCCTCGCGGCGGTCGGGGCTGCTTGGCCCCCGACGCTCCCCATCGCTGCCGCTCCGTGCCCCGCCCGCCCTGCTGCGCCGCCTCCAGGCCACCAAGAGGCGCTGCTGCGCCCCCGCCCGCATGGTCGAGGCCACGCCCCTTCCGCGCACGCGCGTGGACCAGCTGTCCCCGCCGGCGCTCCCGGTGCCACCGTCGCCATCACCGGTCATGGTGCTGGACCTGGACTTGTTCCGCGCCGACAAGGGCGGAGACCCCGCCATGGTGCGGGACATGCAGCGCAAGCGCTTCAAGGACCCCGGGCTGGTGGATGCGCTGGTGCGAGCGGACGGCGCCTGGAGGAGGTGTACGTGGGGGCGGGTGGGTGACTGGAGGCAACCTCCGGGATGGGGGACCCCCTTGTCACACGCGGGCATATCTCCCCTTCCCGGTGCCTTTCCGTCCACCCCGTCAGCCTGGTGCCCGGTCCGCAGGTGATAGGAACTCCCCACCATGGCCCCTCCTCGGGGATGGAGGATCCCCGATGAGATGGGGTGACCTTTCAGGAAGTCTTTCCCATCCTCCCCAGCTGTTTGTCTATTCATCCCCAACACTCGGGGATCGCCTCGGTGGATCACTGCCCTCTGGGACTGGATCCTGTGGGTAGGTCACAGCAGAGACCGAGGGCCTGTCCCTGGGTGGATCCCCCTCGTCCCTAATTCCAGGGGTTGAGGTGGGAAAAGTTCTCCCACTAGACCCGCCGTCTCTCCTCCCAGGCTGGAGGGCAGATCCCAGGTTCCCCTTAGCCGGACTTGGATCCCGTCCCATTGCGATCCCCAGGGATCCGCTCCCTACATTGCCGCAGAATGCAGCTGGGCGGGGGGGATCCCAGACAGTGCCACCCCCAGATTTGGGGTACACCCACACCTGGGCAGCTTAGGGGGGTGGGGGGCAGGAGCCTCCTCCTCGTGGCTCCCGGCGGGATATGGGGCAGCGGGAAGCGCATGCAGCTCCGTCAGTGGGTGCCGGATGTGGGGAGGAGCTGGAGGGCGGCGGGAGGAGTGGGTACCCCCAAACCCCGCCGTTCCTAGGGCACCCCAGCGTTCCATTGCTGCGGAATGAAAGCGGCGCTTGGGGCTCCCGTTTAATGCTCCCGTTCGCCTTGATGTCCAAGGGATCACCCGCTTCCCAGCCCCCTTCCCGCCCGCTCCGTGTCCCCAGGACGGCGGTGCTGGAGAATGGCGGGTGTCTGCAGGGTGAGGCAGGCTGGCGGGTCGTGCTGGCTGATGCAATCCCACGGCGCCGGTGCGTGGAGCCCGTGCTGTGCCATGCTGTGTTCTGTTGGTGTTCCCTGGCTCTGGATCCCCTGGGACTGATCCCTCCCGCTGATTAGGGTGGCGCGTTCTCAGCGTAGGTGCCCCCAGTTTGAGCTGCCCCGGGACCTGGGCTCTGCCCTTCCCAGCCCTGGGGTCACAAAGGGGGAACATCCATGCTCTCCTCATCCAACACCCCCTGAATCTTGTCATTGTGGCCTCAGATCCCAGGGTCTGCTCAGTCCTTAGAAATCCCATCCCGCTGAGGGAGGTGTCTCATCACAATGTGGGGTCCCAGCACAGTGCGGGGGCCCATCCTAACAGGGAGGTCCCAGCATGGGAGGCTCTGAGCCTGTGGAGGGAGGGATGTTATCCTGGCATGGGCATCCCAGTGCAGCGTGAGGAGGATCTCATCATGGTGTGGGGGTCCCAGCCCACCATGAGGGTCCTAGCCCAGCACTGGGGGGGTCCAAGTGAAGTATGGAGAGCCTGTGCTGATGTGGAGGGTCCCATCCTGGTGGAGGGATTCCCATTTTGGCAGGGTGGGGTTCCCAGTCCAGCATAGGGGTCACAGCCCAATGTGGGGGATCCTAGCATGGGGTGGGGATCCCATTCCAGTACATTGTTCCCAGCCAGGCATGGGACTTTCACCCCAGTGTGGGGAAACCTCATCCCCTCATGGGGGTCCCAGTGTGAAGGTCCTATCCCACTGCGGGGGTCCCAGCCCAGCACGGGGAATCTCAGTGTAGGGTGCTCATCTTAGAGTTGGGGTGTCCCATCCCAGCATGGTTTCAGCAAGTCATGGGGTTTTCCAGCCTGGCATGGAGCTCCCAGTGCAATGTCACTCCAGGTGTTTTCCAGTGACATCCCTACTCCTTGCAGCTCTGCTCCACACGATCAACCTCTGTCCTTCCAAAAACCCCAGGGATGGTGCCTGTGGGTATTCCAGGAACTGCCACCCCCCCTGCTGCTCCCATGGGGGCTCCATATCACCTCTCTGTACCAGATAGGGGCCCCAGCCCTTCTCTCAGTCCAGGTGACAGCGCCTACCTTCCTTTCCAGGCAGGTTTCGTGCCGACAACCTGAACAAGCTGAAGAACCTGTGCAGCAAAACCATTGGGGACAAGATGAAGGTGAGGCACGAGTGCCCTGGGTCACCTTATGGTGGGACATCACCAGCTGGTGGCATCTCTCCTTCTCCCAGCCCTCTAGTCTCTCCCTTGTGTCACTGAGGGATGTTTTCCCACTGGAATTTTACTCTTTAACTGTCCTGGGGTTCCTTTTTCCTCTTGCTGCAGAAAAAGGAGCCAGTAGGGACGGATGAATCTGTACCAGAGATTGCACAGAACCTGGATGAACTCACGGCTGATGTCCTGGGGGTGAGTGAGACCCCAACTCTCTCCACTGTGCCTACAGTTTGTCCAGAGCTTTGCCTGGAATTGCCCAAATTGGTGGCCTAAAGTGCCCACCAAATGAGGGGGGATTGCCTGTTGCCCCATCTGGGATGATCCTTTATCTCTCATTCCCACACCAGCAATAACTGACTCTTCCTCAGTGTCCTTGATCTCTCCAGCATCACCCTGTGTCAGTCAAGGGCTCATCCCTGGGAATTTGAGCAGTCTCAGTCCTTCTGTGTCCTCACTGTGTCCCTCCCTGCCTGCTTCCATCCCAGTTTGGTAGTCACCCTGGTTAATGAATGCAATGCTGGCTGCCATGGGAGCAGCTCAGGCCTTCCAGATTCCAGCTTGTCACCCCTTTATCCTTTCAGGCTGTTCTTGAGTGTGTCCAGCCCAGGGACTCACTCCAGAATATGTGGAGGGTCCAGAATTCACCATGCTGGGCCCAGGATTCCCTGTGCTGGATGAACAGGACCCTCTTCCCAGTGGTCTTCTCTCTCCCCCACCTCATCTGGAGGTCTCTCTGCAGTGTCTCCAGGTATCCCAGATAAAGAAAATTCGGCTGCTCATTGATGAGGCCATCCTGGAATGCGACTCTGAGCGTCTGCGGCTGGAGGCTGAACGCTTTGAGAGCCTCCGGGAGATTGGGAACCTCCTCCACCCCTCTGTGCCCATTAGCAACGACGAGGTGGGACACGGGGAAGGGAGGTGGGGCTGGGTCAGAGGGGCTAGGAAGCTCACAGTGGGAAGCAGGGGGCTCCCAGCAGGGGATCCCCCAAGCCTGTCTGGGTGGGCGGGTGAGGGAAATCTGCATGACAAGCCAGCATTTCCCACCCGGATCAGACAAAGAGCAGCTCAGACAACACTGGGCACACCATTGTTGGGGGAATTCATGGGAAAGTTGCTCACTGCCGTGAGGACAGGGTCTCCCTCTGCTGCCTCCATTCATCCCACGGGAATATTTTCCCGGAGGGAGCACAACTGGGCCAGGCTTGCTGCCAAGTGGCTGCACAATAAGCTACAGGCTGGAGTTTGAGCTCCCAAAGTGGGCCCAGTGTGGTTCAGGGACTGGTGTCACAGCATTCCAGGGCACTGAGGAGGTTATAGGCTCCTGCTTCTCTTTTCTCCGGGCTCCTGCAGGATGTGGACAACAAGGTGGAGCGGGTGTGGGGTGACTGCAGCTGCAGGAAGAAGTATTCTCATGTGGATCTGGTGGTGATGGTGGATGGCTATGAGGGGGAAAAGGGCGCCGTGGTGGCTGGCAGCCGTGGCTACTTCCTTAAGGTGAGAGCTGTGACCCTGGAATGATTGGGTTCAGAGAGGAACGAGGAGGGACAGGGGCCTTGGGTTCTCCTCCCCTGGGATTGATGATGAGAGCCTCCAGAGGCCTCCTGGACCCTCTGAGCAAGGAGGAGTGGCCCAACAGAGTGTGTATGTGACAGGCAGTGTGACCCTTGTTCCCAGGG